GTGTGTGTGTGTGTGTGTGTGTGTGTGTGTGTGTGTGTTTTCATTGCTCTTTCTGGAACATGGCCAAAGGGTTGAAATGTTCCAATCAATACTTAAACCACAGATACACACATGCTTGGTATTTATTATTTTTACTACCAGGAAGTGATCAACGTTGTGCTAAAACTACGGAAACTAAAAATGTAAACATAATAATAATCATTTATTTTCACACAGGAGCTTTTAAGACCATTGATCAGTTGAATGAATGTATCAAATTAAATTTTTGTTGTTGTTGTTTTTTGTAGTTGATTAGAATGTTTTTTTGTCATTTGTTGTGTWGAGTCACTTTGTTTCTAATTTAGTTCAATTTGATGGTGTTTTATTGTTAAATGGGATTATTTCTTATTTAGTAATTAATGGTTTATATTTTTCACCTTGCACACTGGTCAGCTGAGGTTGTTTTTTGAAGGTTCAACAGAAATTTGAATGATTTGCCTTGAAATATAGCTGAACAGACTGGCACAAATAATCTGTTTCGTTGCACCATAAGTATTCTTATTTTTACTTCAGGGTGCAGTGTTTCAGTGAAAAATAATGTTCAGCTTATTGATGTAAAAATGCAGTTTACACTTCAGATTAAAAAGTCTGACTGGCTTTCATGAATGAAAGATTTTAGATTTTTTTTCCTCACTGTACCCTTATTCGTTTCTGCTTCATCTAATTTCTCTGCAAAAAAATCCTTTTTATCCAATAAACCRGCTTCCCTGCAGCAGCAGCTAAGTGAGTTTTAACACTGATCAATATTAATCAGATGCTACATTAAATGATGGACTCAATGTCTGAAAAATGACAGACTTCTAGCTTGATCTATTGCATCAGAAATCATTTCTCTAATATGTTCATGATCTCAATCATTAAAGTTTCTTAAGTTTTTTTAAATATTCACATTGTCTTACCTAAAATAAAAAAAGAAAAAAATAGGGGGAGCACTCTGCAGTGGAGATAAATAGTTTTTGCATGATAAGTAAACAGGTTTGCTAATGAGTTTACCTGCTGCCATGGATGGCGGGCGGTCATTGTGTTCAATAATCTGTTAACAAAATATATCGTGAACTACTAGATTTTAATGAAACTTGTATAAAGTAATCACTGGATGCATGTTGTTAACTTTTTGAGTCCACCTGATTGAAGGTGACTTCCACAGCTAATTTACACTTGGTTTGACAAATACTGAATTAAAGATTTTTGGGGTAGAAGCTGAATTTCACCTTCATCTGAGAGCTAACAGAGCTAGCAAAATTTGTTGTTAAAAACTATGGTGTACAAAATTTATTTTGTCATTTAATTATCTAGTCGTTTTTTTGCAGAGATTTAAAATCATTTTCGAAAATGATTTTGACAAATGATAGCAGCTCAAAAACACCACTAAATTTAATTAGCATTCTATAAAGACAGGTCTATTGCCAACCACTTTGAATGCCAAAGATTTAATTCACAATTTTGTACAACCTAATAACATTTGAGTATAGGGATGATCTCAGCTACACTCACATTTAATTTCAATTCAGTATCTAAAACATGATCAAGTTATTGGCATTTTTGTGTTTGCTAAAACTGAATGACTGTCATGGATTGACTCCAAAAGTTAGCCAGTTTGAGATGTGCGTATTATAATTACTTTCTAAAAGTTTCATTTAGATCCACCCGGTGGCTCATGAGGTAATTTATTAACATACAGACAAAGAAACACAAACACAGACAATTATGGAATCATTTGCCTTTCATGTCAGGGTCGGGTAAAATCTGGACACATACAGAAAAAGTCTAAATGTAGAAAAACAATAATAAACAGAAGAAAACTAAAACTATAAACAAATAAATTTCTAAATAATAGATGACCAATTTGTGCAGTTTTTGTAGACTGGAACAATTCAAAATTTCAAACGTACTGTAACTGGACACCATCAAAGATGAAGTGTATAATTTTTTACCAGACATGATTTTTCCTTATAGAAAGAACATTGTTATTTTATACATGTTTTTCTTGTTTATTCCTCCAATGATGACCAATAGAACAACATGCAGATTTTATGATGTCTGCTTTTACTCCATATTTTGTTCTCTATGAAAAACAGTGAACCCTCTTCACTTTGGAATATTTTTAATACTTCCTGTTTGTTGTTGTTTTATTATTATTTTTAAAGCTTAAGTCAACCTTACACCAACTTTCACATTTGTGTGTTGGTGGTTCTGTTTAGAGTACCTGAGGCCACTGTAACGCTGTAATTCATTGCTGGGCCTTCTCTATCTTTATTACATCCTGTCCTCCCACTACACTCCGGTGAAACACACACACACACACACACACACACACACACACACACACANTGTGTAAGGCTACTGTTCTTCACTGCTGCAACAATGGAGTCAAAGCGTGTGGGCGGATAGCAGAGTGAGAGAGAAAGGATGAGTAGATATCCAAAACTCTGTATAAACTCGCCTACAACAAGCCTACAGGGACCCCCCCTGTGTGTGTTGGTGGTAACCAGCAGTGAAATCTGCCTTATGCTTAATTGCTTCCTGCAGTGCGTGCATTTCTATCTTGTCTTATTATGGCACCACATTTGTAAAGCAACAATATCACAGGCGAGGGTGAATGTCTGAAAATGCAACAATTTAACGCTCATCAAAAATAAGCACTTTTCCACGGATGCACCTCAATGCTTCTTGGGTGTATAAATGATCATTTGTACAGTTTGTCATCAGTTAAATGTTATCGTCTGGATGAGTGCCATTATCAGTAAAATGTGTCATTAAAGCTGATTTTACAATTATATTATTAATCGTATATTTATTTCAGTTTGGACCTTGGTAAATTTAACTTTGGTTCAACTTTTAAAATATCTAAAGTGCACAACTCAAAYGTCTGATTCTTTGTTGATCAACTTAATCCAAATTGTGCAAATAGATGTATTTTAATCTGCTTTTGGAATATTACATAATGTTTRTACCGTGGGAGGCAGCTCCAGAGAAGAGGCCGTCAGCAGAAACTAACTCCAAGCACGTTCAAACATTTGTTGAAGCACACTTGACCTCACAGAGTTTATGGGAGGAAAAATAAAAGCAGGAAAACTGAGTGATTCTCAGCTGCTTACCTGCAGAAATGTGTGTCAGGACTCCTCAGATCTGCTCCTCTCATCACCAACCAGCAGCCTCCTGATACCGCTCAGTGGTCCTCCCCCCCGCCCCCTCCTTCCTTCCTCCGTCCCGGGACTTGGCCCACCTCCTCAGAATAGCGCTTCGTTCAACTCCGGATGACGCCCAAGATTTTAGCGGCAGCAACAGCAGCACGATCCGCGCGGAGCATCCTCCTGGTCCGGTCCCATCCTCACAGCTTCACCGTGCCCCGTCATCCGCTCGCCGCCACCTTTTTCCGKGTCCTGCAGAGCCTCGTTAGTCCTTCACCGCCATCCCTCATCACCATCGTCCCCTCTCAGCTTTCCGCCTCACCGGTGCTCGTGTCGCCACGCTGCGTGGCTCGGCTCTGCAGCCCAAAGTGTGTCATGCCCGGGAAGAGGAGCGCATCATCCGGACCAGGCATATGGAGAGAGAGAGAGAGAGAGAGAGAGAGAGAGAGAGGGAAGTCTTGTGAAAAGAATATTTCATCAAACAGCCTCTAAATATCAGCTCCAACTGGAAAGAAGTAGTTTGACTTCACAATTAGATATACAGAATACAATAATTTAGACGTTTTCTGTTCTAAAATAAAAATCAAATGTAAAGAGAGGCAGTGGAACACTGGATCAGCTCTTTACCTTGCTAGGGTCCATGGTCCATAGGGTGCATGGGAATTTATCCAACCAGTCTACATGTGTTTTCTGGACTTGGAGAAGTTACTTGACTATGTGTTCCATCAAGTACRCTCTAATGGGTGATCTGTGAATATGTGATTGTGGGTTAATTGTTACGATGCTACAGTTTGGCTCATATTGTTGGCTTTCTGTAAGACCTTTTCAGGGTGACAGACACCACCAGAGCTGCCCATTGGACCCCTCTCTTCAGGCTGGGAGTGAGGTACTCAGGGATTTATTCTTGGGGAAGAATGGGGTGTGAAATCAACATATAGATTAGTGACGCTTTGGTAGTACTGCATACTCTGAACCAGTCTGTTGTGGTGAGGAGGAAGCTGAGCTGTAAGGCTGGTTGGTCTACAGTCCTACCCCCACTTATGGTCAACCAAGAAACCAACTGCGGTCCAGGCATCTGGTAAGGATACTCCCTGGACGCCTGGTATTCTGGACATATCCAACTTAGAGGAGACCCGAGAAAGACCCGGTACAAACTGGGAAAACCTCAGAATCCTCCAGGGAGAGGTGGCTGTGAAGAGAGATATCTGGACCTCCCTGTCCAAGTTGCTTCACCCACAACCTGACATCAGAACAAGCAGCAGATAATCTGTGGATGGATATTACAAGAGCAATGATAAGGAGTATTGCCAACCAAATTACTTTATTTTTTTTTGGGAGGGATAACCAAAAACTGCTTCAATTGTTATTGTTTTTTTTTTTTACCATATTAGATCAAATCAGACAATGATGGAAGAAAAGAAGAAAGTGAGGGACGGCAGCAGTTAGGAAAAGAGAGACTGAGGGAATCAGGTATTGCATGTAGCCCCTATAGTACTCTATCATTTCTTCATCTCTCTTCCTGGTATTCACTCTCTCTGATGCTCTCTCATGTCCCTCTCTCCCTCCTCTCATCCATCTCTTTCTTGCTCTCTCTGACAGTCCATTAGGCCCACACAGCCCTGTCATCCATTCACTCTGTCAGTCCAGGGCTACGGAACCCATCGTGTTTATAGTTAGACAATAATCATGGTTAGAGCATCCGTATCATTGCTAAAAACCCAAGAGTTCAGTTTCCACAAGGGCCGGGTCACAGAACGAAACCCCACAGTTAGAGGATCAGAGGTCTGGTCCTGGTGTAACACGGCGTTTATCCCATGTTTCAAGGTTTTCACATGTCTCTTTTCTCTCCTGTCAAAGGTTTTTGTCTTTTCTGAGTAGTTTTTGAAAGTCTTACTGGCATTTTACAATATATTAAATGACTTAATAACAAGTGAGTTAAAATGTCTACTAAAATCCATCAGTACATCTATTTTTCAGATTTTTTTGTCTAAATACTTTTCTATTGAAAAAAACAAAATTAATAAACTAGGTGAAAAAGGCAAAACTTAAATCCACTAAAACTCTAATATTGGGCATTTGTCAACCATTTAAACTTACCTTTGGGTGAAAAACCCAATGTAGCTGGAAATTTGATTTAGAACATCTCTGTTATCTCTTAGAACTACTGTAAGACCAAATAAAACTAGCAATAGTTTAACAAAGTAAATAAGCAGCAGAATACTGCTTTATCCAAACGGCACTGCTTTATAATTATGTTTAAAATAAGGTGTAGAAAATCCCATTCATTTTTACAATAGTTACCAAAAGCCAGACATGGATCTTGTTTTTTGATTACACAATCAGAAATGTTTTATTCATAGCCATCAGGCATTTTAGCAGGTAACCGATCAAACTTTCGATAGAAAGTTACAGCGTCTGTAATTGTCAAAATCATAAGCTTAAAACCTTGTTCATTTCATAATTTCATAACCTTTTCAGTTTTAAATTGAAGAAATAAATGCACACAAAACCTTGCACGCCATGGTTTGAAACAAAGATGTTAACACTTAAGCTGGGTTCACACCGAACACRTTTTGGGCAGCCAAAATGCACCTGACGACTCAAGTTGGCACCAGCTTCGGATGTTATCATCCATTAAATGGACGTTATTAGCCGTTATCAGTCCCATAGAATGGCTTCAGACTGTCAGCTGGTTAGTATGAGGCATAAAGCCACTAAGGTTTTTTATACAGTCTGGTTAATATGAGGCATAAAGTCATTAGGGTTAATTTATAAAAAAAAATGACATGAGCTATGATGAAGTGGCCCGAACTCCGGCGGTAGTGGATTGTTGTATTTCAACGTATATGGTACTGGTAACCCACTAGGGGGCACTGTCGGGACAGTCTGAAGCCATTCTTTGGGACTGATAACCGCTAATAACGTCCACTTAATGGACTGATAACATCTGAACCGCCTGAAGTTGGATGCTTGTCAATAAAGTCCGTACAGACTGAACGTGACTAGACGCTCGTCTGGAGAGGGAGGAGTGTCTTGGTTTTTTCCAGTCTGTCTTTAATGGCAGATGAAATAAAGAAAATAAGAGCAAGCGAACATTGAGCTAATCAGATAATTAATTCACCAGATAATTTAGAGGCAGTCTGTTCACTGAGTTTCACTACTCCAGGAGCTGCGAGCTGACGAACTATTTTTTTTTTGTCCTGAGCCCAGTTTAACACAGTTTAATGAGCTGCTGACCCACATCGGTGCTGATATCTCCTGCCAGAACACCAAATACAGATGATCAATTTCACCAAAAGACCTCCTGTCCGTCTGTTTCAGGTTAGTGGGAAACATTCAGGAAACCGTCAAGTGGAAAAATGATTGGTTAATGCGGTGTGTCGAGCAGCAAAAGTTCAATTTTTTTTAACTCAAGCGTCGGGTGCTTTGGATGCGCCGCATGCACGGAAAACGCTCTACCACTACTAGGGCTGTGTATTGGCAAGAATTTGGCGATGCGATACATATCATAACAGAGGGGTCACGATAGGATATATCCCAATATACTGTGATACTGTAAGCAAGACGATATATTGCGATATATTGCGATTTTTTTTGTCCAAAAATTCTATTAAATAAAAACCTCTTACTGGAAAAAAAAAGAAAAGCTAAAGTTTACTTACAATGCTTACATTGTCTCCTACAATGCTAATGCTACCCTTACTCTCTGGCGCTCAAGAGGTAGAGGAGGAGGTAATGGCTGGCTCACTGCTGCCAACTAGTGGTCAGAGGATGAACTACAACATAAAAATGAACGGTTGGCAAGAAGGTTGACATTTTAAACCTTAATTAAAAATCGATACAGGGCTTTGGAATATCGATGCAGTATCGGGAAATGAAATATCGCGATATTTCAGTGTATCGATATTTTCTTACACCCCTAACCACTACCTTGTGCGCTGCTCAGACGCACCGCGCTGCCCCTAGATGCGTGTCCACCATTGAATTTACATGTAAACTGGCTGCTTCGGCTGCTCAAAACGCGTTTGGTGTGAACCCGGCTTTAGAGAAAATGTTTCGGATGACTCTTAAAATCACACAAAAATTTAGTGCCAGCTGTAGCAATAACTAAGTTACAGTCGTTTTTTTCTGTTTGCTGAGCTCCATTTGCTGGGCAGCCATCGTGAATCAGCTTGCCTCCAAAAGTTAATCAGCTGTAGATGTACATTACATTCAGTGATTACTTTGTGAGAGCTTCACTAAGATCCAACAAGCAGCTAATAAGATGCATATAATTCAGTCAAAAACAATCATTATGAAAATAAAATAATACAATGTCAACACAGTTTTAAAAAAATGACGTATATTGTCCACCACTTTATGTAAGAGGAAATATTGTATGGAAAAACTTATACAGCTATTTTGAATATGCATCAACAAGAAATGTTTTTCCTTTTTAGAAAATGCATTTTTAGAAAATGCAAAACTACACAAGCCTCTCTTGAAAAATCTAACCTGTGTTTAAAAACCTGATTTTTTTTAACTTAAACCAGTGGCCAGCCTTTGTTTATTGAGCGGAAATCACAGCGTWAGTGTCAGACTAAAGTCAAAGAGCTTTTTACAGCACTGACCTTCACAGCTGACTGGAGAGCCACCTCTTAGATAACCCATGGAAGGGCTTTAATACTCTCAGGGGAACACTGTAAGAACTGCATGCAGTCTTGAAGCCAAGATGCTTCGATCCGGGTCACAGTCAGCAAAAAAGAAGAAGTCACACCRTCAGACAAGTTAAAGTTTTTATACRCTTTGGATTTTCCTCTGTATGTGTCTTGATTAACTGTCCTGCTGCCCTTGGCTCAAAATAACACAAAATCTGCACTTCATTAAAGAATCACATTTAACATTTACAGTTCGCCTTCCTGTTGCGCTGTGTGTGTGTGTGTGTGTGTGTGTGTGTGTGTGTGTGTGTGTGTGTGTGTGTGTGT